GGTTAAAAAAAAAACAACACAAAGATTATCAACACTAGTTCTTTAGAAATACAAACACCGATTTCCTAGATTTGATGAAATACTAATATTTATGCTGCTTCTCAGCAAGTCATCTTTCATCGGTCATTGTTGTTGTCTCCATGAGTTTAGGTTTTGTGCTTAAAAGGTGGTTGGCTTAATTGTTAGTTTCAGACTTTGAAAGAAACTCAACTTCATGTTATCAACAAAACTGACTATTGTTCTCCTGTTTTTAAGAGCTTCTGTATAGTGCCCAACACTCTGCTGCCACTTCAGAGTACTTGAGAATGTGCTTACATTTGAGTGCGTGACTATAGGACAGAAGGCCAAACAGCTTTGGCTTGCGACCCACACACCATAATTGGAGACCTACCGGAAACATAACAAAACTCTTGGAGGACCAAGAGCTTCAGGAATGGCTGAAAGATGGTGCCTTTTCAGGTTCTTTCCCACTACTTTGTTGTGATAGCAGCGAATGGGGTGTGCGCTGAGGTTGTAAGTGAACCCTGTAATGTCAGCCTAACTTGTTTTCCCACTGCTGAGGATTCAAATTAGTGAGTAGCAAAACACTTTTGTTGCTTGTATGACATACCTCTGACACAGGAGCCACAATTTAGGGATTTGGTAGCCACAGGCAACCCAAGAGTCATAGACTGGTCACTGCTGTAGTAGGAATTTATGCTGCGTCCAGGCCAGAGCAACAGTATAGGGAGTGATCAAGCCCTAAATGAGGAAGAAAACCATTTTGAGTTGTAGCTGTTTCCAGAACATTGTCTTTGTTCAATCCTTTACTGAGCTCTTCTTAGAAATACACAAATATTGGTGGAGGAATGAAAAACAGTCGAAATCCCTTAGCACGTAAAGAAGCGGCAAAGAAGAAACAAAATACCGTGCTTCCCCTTCAAAGCTAAAAAAATCATAAGGTAGCCTAGGAATCAGACCCCTGCTTATGCTTCAAATAAGATACTTCATGCTGACGAGGGCTCCCAAATTTCTTGACCTGTGACTCTCTATCAGCATCACACATTCTTTGGTATCCACAAAGCACTGTTATCATTAGCTTTTTTATGAAAAACATTTTGAGAGTATACTTTTCAGCTGCTTACCATAAACCATGTATGGTTCATACACTGCTACCTGGGAAATGATAATGTAGCTGGGAGTGCCTGTCATAAAAAACACTCTCACAGCATGTTTATTGGCAATTCCAACACAAAAGCTAGAGTCTGAACACAGACTGAAACTCTGCCATGTTATTTTCACTTATGGGGAAAATGCTGCAAATGAGTGGTGAGGCAAAATGGTAGGGAGCTTAAATCAGCTTTGATAAAACTACACCTGTTTTTTAAATATAGAGACTCCAGATTTGTACATATGAAATACAGCAATGTAACAGCTCTCAAATGTCAAGGATATTAGAAGGACATACAGGTACATGTGTCTGACCACAGACAGAGAAGAAAGCCTACAATATGCATTCCTCCTTCAGCAATGTTATACATGTTAGGCAGTGGGAGTGCACTCTGTTTTACCTAGATGAAATCACACAGGGAGTTTGAAGCAGAACATTATTACTCCATTGAAACTGAAGGTCCAGGTAGTCACAAGTCCTCACTCTTACTGGAATTTGTAATTCTAATTATTTCATATGGATGAAAACAATGCAATGAAAGTATGCAAACAAACTCTTGCTAAGCAGACAGCAATGTTTTGAAAATAAATAGCAAACAAAACTGACCAAATTATTTGGGTTACTGAAAATGTTTTTGCAACTGATAATCGTCACTCAAGGAAGAGAATACCAGCAGTGACTGTTGTTAGCAACGTTTTATGACTAACACCACAGTTTATGACAAAGCAGTGCTACAAAGCAAAACTTACTGTAATTTTTAAAAGATTTTTATGTATTCCTAGAGCTCAAGAGAAACAAAGGTACACTTTAGATATTGTTAAATGCCCACAGAAGTATATGTAGACTCAATAAATTGTGACCTTTTCATGGAAGGAATGCAAAGTGTTTCAGGAAAGATAAGGATTCATAAGGTAGTCAGTTCTCTTTTCTGAGACACTCTGAATCCATGCCTGACCACCATACTTTCAGGTGCTGTTTTTAGGAAGGTATAGGATAATGGTAATGTGTAGTCAGTGTTAAAGTGGTTTTTGCTTTTGATTTTTTTTAAACTCTTCAACTTTTTGGTTTAACCTAGTGTTAAGGAGGAGAAGGCAAGATGCTTCTCTAAGAAAAAAAGTAGAGACATTGTGTGAGACAATAATGGTAAGGAATATGGTAAGACTAAAGAGGTGGAAAAGCTCTCCAGAAAGCAGATTGACTACTTTTAAGTAGCAGAAGAAAGTTTTTGATCTTGTGTAGTGATCTTGACCTAAGGCTGCTGCAGTGGGGTATCTTATTTCCATTCTATCAGATGGAAAGGCATGTTATCATGGCCATCCTATTTCATTTCTCCATAGTCCGTTTATTTGCACTTCTCAACACTTTTGGAAGACACTGAAAAATAATTATTTTCACTGAAGTTTTCTTATAACTTCTGTTTTAAATGTGTTCTTTGTATTCCTATGAGAACATTGGGACCTTTGGTTCTTAAAAATATACCAGCTTGGTCCTATATTCGCTCCTGCTGCTGCTCCTTGTTTCTGAGATAAAGTTACAGTCTTGCATTTATCCCAGTTTTGTACAAGAAAATTTATTCTCCGTGAGGAATCTAAGTACATAAAATTATTATATGAAAGAATTAGAAATAAATATTGTTGGAAACATAATGATTTTTTTACATTATGAGGATGATTTCTGAATTTTGATTGACCTTGTTAATACTTCTTTTTTAAACCATGGGTGTTGTGATAATAGGTCTCAGATTTCCCAGGTATTTACACTTTATGGCACTGATCCTGAAAGTTTTTCCTTGGGAATGGTTGCCTGATCTGTAGAGGACTCCACCAGAAGCAGATGGACTCTCTCTTTATATAGGACTCAACCCAAGCAAAGGAAATTTCAGAGGCAGAAATATAATCTATAAACAAGCAAGGCATCTAGGCAATTTTCTGATTGTAACACGTGTCCATTTGTAAAATTTTAGCTCAAATATTACATTTCTAAAAACTTTTCAGAAGAGTAAGAGAAGCAGGTGTCTTCATATCTACATAAATCTTTAGCTTGAATAGTTACTTGACCACATATATTATGGACAGTGCTATTAATTCAGCATGGTAGGAAAAATTACTCTTAAACAACAATAAAGGGTAAACATGAGTAGCAACACTACCAATATATACAATCAGTCTTTTGTCCGACAATATGTTAAGTATTTCTATAACAAACACAACTGAAATCTTCAGACTGGCTCATAATTAGGCTCCTTTCCAAAAGTAATCCATTAATACAATAGCTGCCAAATCCCAGTTCAACTTAATTTCACTGACTTTGATTTTTGGACCAAAAGCATTAAGCTTGAACTAGTGAAAAATGTACAAAATGTGCATTCAATTAAGGAGTAATTAGATACTCAATCACCCTTACATCACACTAGGGATTATCCAAGAAAGAAGAGAGATACTACTCAGTGCAGTGTATAAAACAGTTTTGTTAATTAGTTTAGCACTAATTGAGATTGAGAAAGTGTCACTGTGTCACAGCGTTAGTTTGCTACATGGAACCTTAAGAACACAAAGTTTTTGGTTTCTTTTGAGCTTACTTGCTCAGATTTTTCGGTCTAATTCCCTGATCCAGTATCTTCTGTCCACGCAAGAGGAACCTTTCTGTTCACTTCAGGGAGGCGGTTGGTCCCTGCATCCTCATATCCGTAGCCCACTGAAAAACATGCCAAGAGTTTTTCCAGAGACTTCTTATTATTACATGTTTTTTTTATGTTACACCTTTATACCAAATCCCAGGAAGAACAGGGAATCCTCTGTGCTATTACATAAAGTGTAACTGTGGGTAAAACAAGCTGCTCTGTGAAGGGCTTACAGCCTCCCTTAGAAGGCAGCTGGTAGAAAGTTCTTCAACTTGACCATCAAATGGTCCTGCTGCCAGACACCATGGCTTTTGGGGGTATTGGATGATAACCAGAAAGCACATGGAAATCATGGCACTGATTGTCTGGTGGGTGGACATTGACTTCTTAACAACACTGCTGGTGACTGACAGCCTCTACACTCCTTTCCTTTTTAAGAAAAAGAGTGGGAACTCTCTAGAGATGTGTTGACCCTGCAAGCAATTGTAACCCCAGGTGACCATCTGCACCCAAGCACTTACGGATTTTTTGTGTGTACATACTGAGCTATAGTTGGCACTAAAATAACCTCAAGAAAAAAGTCATTGTTAGTACAACAAAATGAAATGATTCAGCACTCTTATACCTACCGCTTCTGAACTGAGAGCACTGGGGCAACCGGAGCAGCTGAAGCACATGAATATGTGTTTGCATGAAACCAAGTATTGATTTATCTCTGCTGCTAATGAATAAGAATATTACTGCTATTAGGAGGGACAAATTGGGTGATTGCTTTCTATTTCCTGAGCCCACCTGACTCCCATGAGAGCTGCATACCCAGCACTTCACTTGGTAGGGCCCCTAAAATGGTAAACGGTAAAAAATTCTCTGTGACTAGTATATTTTCTTTTCTAGTTTACCTCTCTTCCCATAAGAGTCAATTACCTGATTGATTCAGAAAGCCAATTGTAAAGCTTTGTTTCAAGTTAATAATTTTACCACTGCATTTAACTTTGTGTTTTTATTGCCATTTCCTCCATTGCTAGTAAATCTTCCAGCACTGGCTTTACCCTAAAAGAGAAGAATCAGGACCATTATGTCACTGAAGAGTATATACCCTGAAACTGCCCCCACCTGCTGTCATGAAATCCCTGCTTTTAGTTTTCCCTCTCTCCCTGGCTGGACATAAACAGTCTTTCAGACCCACTGCGGAGGAATTTCAGTAACATAATTGTTCCATTCTCTTTTCAGAGAGGGGGAAGACAATGCTCCCACAGTGCCCTCAGATGAGAAATGGAAACTTTTGAAGCTGCTGCTTCAGTTGAACCACAAAGGCTGTATTGTTTGTCTTCATCTAATTCAGCCTTGATAGACAGCTTTGACAGTTGGTCTGTCCACACGGTCCAGTGAAATTCTGGGAATGGGGCTGTACATTAAAAGAAGAAAACACATTAAATCTTCCAATTCACACTGTTAACTATTTTTAAATGGTAATTACCATTGCTTAGATAATTTCTTTGCCATAGCATTCAATAGTGGTCTGTGATCCAAATAGTACTAATTGTAAGCTTGGTATGGATGTTAATATGTAGAAATACTCATTATTGTTTTGAATGTTAGATTTAATTTTATTCTGTTTATTCATCTCTTGTGCTGTCAGTAACCATCTTTTCTGTAGAGGGGAGGTGCATTCTATAAAGCTAATAAAAACATTGTTTGTTCACAGAGAGTATTATACAGATTCAGAATTAATTTGGGGGCAGAAAGGAACGCTTCTCTGCTAAACCGATTCACTTATCATGGTTAATCTGAATAAAGCTGAATGACTTTTGCATTACTAGGAACGTTACTGAAATAAAGGACAATTTTGAAATAAGGAAAATTAACCGATATAACAATAAACAGAATCATCTGAATTATTTTCTACATGGTCAGTCACGGTACTTTGCAAAGAAATGTTCAATTCAGGCAGAAAATGATCGGCCTTTGTTCTCCTGTGAATTATGACAGTTCTGTTTGTTTCGGTACTTTGCTGAGGATGGTGGTCTGGGGACCTGCTTTGCCCGTCCTGAGCTCACTGCACAGCATGGGGATTGCCACGCTGGGCCACACATGACACATCTGACAGAACAGATAAGGGAACAGTAGTCTAAGCCAGCTACTCATAGCTTCTGATTCCTGCAAAACACCAAGATCTGAAGGACAGAGTCAATAATGTGGTGGGCAGTAGCTTTGATCACCACAGCTGTCAAGTGAGGTCCACTTTACTAGCATGAGGAGGGCAGGTTTATGCAGAGACCTATGTGAGTGGAAGAACGCCGGAGGCACAGATGGCAAGCTCCAGGCCGGGGCACAATGGAGATGCAAACCGAGGGTTCACAAAGGGGAGGTTACTCCCTTGGAGCAGATTGGTGAGTCATCAATCACAAAGACATCACCAGGCAATGGTAAATGCAGTGTCAGAAGGCATGCTTCATCCACCTCTTCAAGGGCTATGGGGAGAGCTGCTGCTGAATAATGAGTTACCAATTCTCCGAGTCATTTATGTGTGTATTAGGGACAGCAGAAACAATAGGACAAACCCACACACCACACGTGAGCTGGGTGAGGCGGAGTGGATACTGCCGACTCCTTCATGTGTTCATAACTGTGTGTGCTGCAGAAACATGCTTCCTTTGGAGAGACACACAGCTGCCCTAGACGGCACACATTGCAATAAATGTGTAGAAAATGTACAGCAAGCAGCCCACCATGAGGTCATCTGTTTATATTGGGCTTAGCAGAGCAGCAATTGGGAAATTGCTCCTTGGGCCTATAGAAACTTGTATTTCTTAGGGTTATGTTTAAGGAAGTCCCTCTCCACCTTCCGCCCAAATCTGATGGAGTATAACACCATTATCTAGTCAAGGGGTTCAAGATTTCAGTGCTGGCCAAGACCACACTTCCATCTGCAATGTCCTCAGCACTTCTACAATGTCCATGTAGCAGCCTCACTGGCTGCTGCCCCCTCTACCTTCAGCAGTGACTCCCCAAGCAGCTGCAGGCAGAGCCCAACCCCAACACGCTGGTCACCAGAGCCTGGCCTCCCACCGGCCCACACCTTGCCGTAGGGCAGGGAGGAGTCTCTGCATAAAGTCTGCTGCAGTGGCCTGCAATGGCTAGGCTGGACTGTCCGCAGTTTTTGACAGGAGCCTGATAATTTGTCCTAGTTGTCAGGTTTGGTACTAAAATCTCAAAGAAAAAACCCAAAACAAAGCCCTGCGAGGTGGAAGTCAGCTGGCTTCTGCCAGTTGAAGACCTATTCCTATCTCCTTGCACCCAGCAATGAAGGAACCTTCCAAAAGTGGAGTGAACCATGTTCCGAACCTGGCAATTCCGAGGTTATATGCACAGCTCATTCAGAAGATCTTTTCCCTTTGCACACAACATATTATTAACTACTTAGTATTAACTGAGAGGAACTGTAGTATTAATATGGCAAATATTGACATTATGATGAAATCTGAACTAGATTTATTCTCTAAATAAACGTGTTCCTTATCTTGGAGCTGGCTGATATTATTCTGGCTGTGAGATACAGATACATCGCAAAGCAAATGATGTAATGTCTCCACCAAAAAATTGAAGTCCATTATTTCCCTTTCCTGTGCTCCCTTCCTGTGTTTGCTGTTCTTTCCTGCATTGCCCTGTGCAGTGAACTGCTAGTTGTATAAATAGTACTACTGAGGAATTGAGGTTAGTGAATTTGTCTCAACATTTGTCAGACTTTTTTTTTCTACGCTTGGCTTTGAAAGAGAAAAAAACCCCACTGGTAAAAATACTTATAACTATTTTGTCTTTAGAATCAGATCTGATTATAACAATGAATTCATTCACAAAACACACCCATTCTAATTACAGATTGGTCAATCCACATTTGTGGTGTGTTGGGAAAAGTTAAATTAGTCTTTCTGGTTTCGATAGGAATCCGCAGGGAGGAATTTGCAGGAAGGGCTCTCTACGTATTACTTCAGTTACACTGCACCCATGAGAGGTTTTATTGAGTGTGGCGAGGCTCTGCTACTCTCCAATTAGAGTTCCACATGCCTGCCTTTGTATTAACATTTTTGAGAAATCATAAAAACTGATACAGGAGTTCTGAGGGTAGTGTAAGGCTCTAAATTAATAATTTCCTCTTCAAGCCTACAGCCGCCGCAATTATTCTGAATCAGATTGCTATCTGCACTGGAAGTATTTTTAAAGGTAAGTATTAATGTGTGTGATGCTCCACATAATTTTAAAGATTTATTAGAAATGTGAATGATAAGTTTCCAAGAGGTGTTGAGCAGTTACACACTTTTTGATCAAGAAATTAATGACGTAATACTTAAAGGCAGCTATGTGCCTGATGAGGCAAAAGCTGGCTCTGCAGCCCTCTGGCAAACTTTAGGAAGGTATTGGGAATGAGAAGAAATCCAGCTCTTGGGCAAGGCAGGTGAGTTGGGGTGGGATGTCTGCTGTCGATGACCTTCCCCCTGCAGGTGATGTGTTCTTTGGGTTCCTTTGTAGTTTTCTGGAGGTCCTGGGAAAACTCAGAGGCTTTAAGGTCTTACCTTGACTTCAGGCTATGGTGCGATGCGCTTTGCACCCTGGGCTGTGATCCTGGGCTCCTGCCTGTTCAGATCAGAGGAGCCTCTTGCAGAGCGCCATGCCTCCCTACGGCTGCCTTCTGCCCTGGCTCCCACGTTGCCTTTGCGTGAAAATCAAGGCATAGGTGGAGCAATAATGAATACTAGGTCTGTTCCCAAAATACACCTGTGAGGTGACCAGGCATAAATTGGTGTGGATTAAAGGATAGGCTTGGTCCCAGACATTAGGGTGGCAAGCATGGTATGGTAGCTGTGTATAGAAACAGGCATGAACTAGGACACTGGCCAGCATCCCTGTCTGTCTCCTAAAGGTTGATTCATTGGTGTTCCTGAATCCCAGAGGGTAATTGAAGGCTACCATTGCTGAAGAGTTAAAAGTGCTTAACAACAGGGCAACATAAAGAAAAAATAATTTTACTGAGAAATTTCAGCTGAATTTTGCTGAGACTGCAGAAGATCCATGCTCAGGCAGCTTCACAAGAAGTCATACACATCAGTGTTCTCCAGAACCTGCCAGGGTGCAGCTGCCATACCCTGAGACTCGCCTTCATTGAGTTTGACTGGCAGGCACAGCACTGGTGCAGTAATGGCCTTGTGCAAATGAATCCTTTCATGGTTGTCACATCAACTCCAGTGAGAATGAAGAGTAGCTTCCTTCCCTGTAGAAATGGGGAACCCCATGGTGAACGGTGGCTGCAGAGGAGAAGGGGAAAACCCTCTCTTAGGATTGAGGACTCTGGAAAGGGGACAAATTTTGGCCTGCCTTTTCCTCCTTGGCTGCGTTTCACAGTGGCATCATCAGCCATGGAGTCAAACTTTGAGATGTGTTATTTCTTTATACACAAGTGCTGCCTGCTGAAATGTTAGGCAGCTGGAGAACCATCCACCACAACTCCTAAGGCTGGACCACGCAGGGTGTGTTTGGAAGTGTTTATGTGCACATTTATTTATGAAACCATAACTGTCATTGTAAGCACACGTCTGTGTGTATATTCGTATCTTTAGAATACAATACATAGAAAAACTATTTTTAAAACAAGGACAATTTAAAATGAATTTTAGAACTTCTAAAAGTATGAAGACTGTGTGCCTAGCATCAGTTCACCAGCACTGTACATATACTGTTGGTATTTGTATGATTGGATATTTTTCCCTTTGCTTAGTGAACATGTGTTAGTCCTGTTCCCTTCTCTTTTCCCCCATTATTCATTATTCAGTCCCAGGTCCTTTATACTGAATGCTGCTCGAGATTTGCTCTGAAGACATAATCATTCATTTTCTCATGGGGCTTTCTCTCTTACAGTATTTGTTTTAATGCTTCAGATGTATTAATGAACTTATCTTTACACTCACTTTGCAAATGCCTTCTCCCCTGTATCACCTGAAGGATTTTTCTCTCTGGTCAGAGACTGACTATCCATATGATGCCAGGAACTCAGCAGTCAGCCATTTTAGAGAGGTACTCTTCATATTGCCCTGCAACACAGGTGGTCCTTGTCCAGGAGAACTTGTTATGACCTTATCTGCAAAGTTAAAAACCCAGCATTGACTGAGGTCACCTCTTCAGTCTTCTCCCTGATAAAATTGCTGAGATGATGACTTCTATTGCAGAGTTTGTTTTTCCTTGCTGGGCCATTTTTTGTGACCCTTCTGTCCAGTATCTTCACATCCTTCTCACCGGTGTTCTTACCATGCTGTGTACAGAGGCAGTGGCAGCTCTTCATTTCTGCTTGGTCTTCCGCAGAGCCTGACCCCGTGTTGATCCAAAGAGGCCCTTCTCCTCCCCAGATATCAGGCAAACAACTGAAGATGGGGCCTGAGAATATTAGATAAACTTGAAAATAACTTGCCCTATAAAGTACACAATGAGCTACTGAAGCCTTGAATAACAAAGAAAAAAGAAAGATTAAAGATATCATGAAGCAAAAACAGCATAAAGAAACTTCCTTACGTGTCTTTTTCTCTAGCAGGGATGTGGTTGTAAATATTCCTTCTCTATTTCCATCTCAGCTTGATTGTGTTTGAAGTGGTCCATTATGGGTTGGGTAAAACCAGGAGACTAACTCACAGCCAGCTTCCAAATCAGTGATTAGATACCAAT